GCCAAATTGAGTTTAATTCTTTGATTCTAGAATTTATTTCCGTTTGTTCGATAATCCCTTGGGCTGGAATGATTGTTGCTCGTTCTCGATCTTGATTCGGATTAATTCCAGGAGAATTTCGTGATCCTACGTTTGTAAGTAGGGAACAAAGTTGTTGTCGGAGTAGATGGGTTTGAGGAGCGAGTGCTCAGCAGACGAATCTGTGGAAGATAATGAAGAAATTTCTAGTGGGCCCGCTAAATTTGCAATTTTTACTGGAAAAACTGAGGATAACAGAAATGAATTTTGTGTGGTGGAAAATAATGATTATGGTGAGTCGTTGTCGTTCCATATGGTGAAGCAAAATCTAAGTGATGTTACAGAGAATGTTAGTCTTCATGGGAGAAGGATCAAGAGAGAACCCAAGAAGGGCAGGGGTAGTGATGTAATTACGCGCATGCCATCGAATTCAGAGGTAAGCTCAAATAAATGTACGCGGAATGCCGAACTGAACCGGGGGATCCAGGGTTCTGTTTCCTCCACAAATGCCAATTCGGGTTTTGGGCCGGGCCCACTTTTTGCCACTGGGGTCGACTCGGAATGGAACAGCCGATCGTCAACGTCCTTCGACTCGGCCAGTGGTGGACGGGTCAAAATCGAGAAGGAGAACTCTCATTCCAGCCTGGAATCTGACTCGCGAAGCTCCAATTTTTTGTTTGTGCAGGGAACTCACTCCTTGAGTAACAGGATGCAGGATGAGAATGGAGATGACATGGCAGGAGGTGAAGAACCAGATGGCGGAGGATGTGAAGGTGGTATCGCTGACTCATCTTCGGAGGTCAAAGGGGAAAGGAGCGAGAATCATGGGTCATTCAGTGATGGAGATTCTCTAGACAAGTCCTTGTTTGAACTTGAGTCTGCACAAGAAGCACTCAAGAAAGGTTTGTCCTGAAATTTTCCTTTGAAAAGGTTGTGTGCGAGTCTTGAATAGTGATGGAGTTTTTCAATGATTAAGGGTGTTTCAGTAGTGTGTAGAAATTAACTTTTTGCCCGTAATGAACAAAATGGGTGTGTGCTCTGGGACCAGTCAGGGTTCATTTGGACAGAGGGCTTTGTGGAGTCTTTGATTTGGAAATAGTAGAATGTTTGTCTGCATTGTGTTATGCAAATAATTTATCACCATGGCCTGCCAAATATGTCTGTTTTACTCAAATCTCTGAAATGCCATAGCTTTTGTTTTTTGTGTTTGTTTATTTTTTTCTGTTTCTGGTCTATTTTAGTTGCATGATATATCAAATTCAATCCTTTATTTGAGATACCTGGATTATATTGTATGTGAGTAAAAATCTCATATTTGGAAATTAGATGAACCAATAAAATGTCATATTTCTCTAAAGAATAAAACTCATATTTGTAGGTGAATGTCGGTTTAGGATTTGAACTTTTGAAATTTCTTCATATTTTTGGAGTCGAGTTTTGTATGGCTCGTCTAGAGAGCACTTTTAGGGTAATTGCTTTCAATTATGGCCCCCATCTGAGTGTTTGGTTTATACGCGTCTGCATGTAGAGCTACAAAAGCTTAAGGAATTGGGGGAAGATATTTCGGCTCATGATTTCGTCTCAGATTCTTGCATGGAATTTGTGGACAATGAACAGAAAACAAGCTCTAAGCAGTTACTGGGTGAGGGCTCACACAGTTTTTCCCAATCCATGCAATCTGAGGTCTTACAAACTGCAAGCAGGGTTTTGGAAACAGAAATTGAGGACCTATTTAAGCAAAAAATCGAAGCTGAGGTGGAATATATGGCAATTTCAAAAGCTGTCCAAAAGCTGAGGGTGGCCACTGTGGATCAGGTTACAGTTTTGGAAGAACAAAAAACTTTGGCTTCAGAGCAAACACAAATGCTTGATAAGCTTGGGGCTGCTGAGAATAAAGCTTCCATGCTTAAGAAAGAAGCCGAGAAGTTGGAAAGTATTTGCCAAGACATTGCCCATGCAAATGAGGTAATGAAGCTACAGAAAGGGGTTTGTAAGTACAGTTCGTATTTCTTGGTGCAGTTTGTATTGTTTCTAGTTATGTTTGTGGCCTTGGTATTTCAGTTGTCGCCTAGTTATGTGGAAGTTGTTCCCACTTAGCTGTAGGAATAGTTTCACTCTTTCTCTTTCTTTGAATATGTTTTAATCAGTGTTTTTCTTGAATACTTTTAGTGATAGATTTATTTTAGTGATTCGTGGTAGTTTGTCTTGGAAGTGGTCTGTACAGATCGAATGTCCGAGTATAGTTAATTCTGGCAGCTCTTATTTACAGTGTATTGAGTTTTATTTTTTAAAAAAATTAAAACCTTCATTCACATTGAGTTAACTCATGATATGGAAAAAGCAAGTGTTCCAGTCGATAGAGACGGTAGGAAGTCTTTGAGACATTTTCGCTGAATTGGGTTCCTAATTCTGTTCTTTTTTTAAGTTCGAAACATCCTGTAACATGCTGCCCTTGTAACTTGGACGATTGATGTAGAGGAAGACAACAAGTTCTATTCGATGAAGAATAAAAGTTAACATTTTTTTATCTTTAGTATCCAGGATTTTCCCTTCCTTGCTGCACGATTTTCCCTATTCCTATGAACAAAGAGAGAACCCATTATAATGTTATAATATCACAGCGACGTAAGAAGTATGATTGTCTAATCGTTAAATATATGATTGTCTAATAGTTAGAATATCCAACAGTAATATTTATGTTTTGATTTTTGTTTTTGTACATGAAAAAGTGAAATGAAAACATGAAGAGGGAACACATTTCCCAATCGATATATTGACTAGTTTGCATAAAAATATCCCTAAGTTAAAGAACCAAAAAATGTATTTTTTTTCTAGATGAAAAGTTGGGTCATTTACATTCTTCCCTTAGTGATTTGTAAATAATTGCATATGTACGATGAAAGAGAAAAAAATTGCACTTTTACCATATCATTAGCAAATAATTAGGAACAATATGCATATTATCAGTTTCTTTTCCTATTTCCGTAACAGACACTCGTTAAGCTAATTTTTCTCACATGATAAGAATTTTCTCTCACATGGTAAGCAACAAAAACACGTTTCATGTGTAGATTAGATTGCTAAAAAATAGAAAATTTGACTGGTATCATATTTTATATATTTTCGGTCATATCCACGAGTCGAATAATTATTATTTTCGGGTAAATATACTATATGTAGAATATATACAACAAACATGCTCTATAAGCGTTTTTAAAAAACAACACAATCAATAAACAATATATATACAAAAAATATACTTAGGATCGTACCGATCCGTATGATTTTCAATTCAAATCTTTCACCCAGACTCAGCCCGTGCAAAAACAACACAATCAATAAACATTATATATACGAAAAATATATAACATATATACCTAGGACCATGTCGATCCTTATGATTTTCAATTCGAATCTTTCATACTACATATATACCTGCAACTATACAACAACTAAAAAAAAGTATAAATATACTACATATATACAACATATATATTATATACCATCTGATCTGGTCCTCCGTTCAACTAAAAAAGTTTGATTTTTGTTTTTGTACATGAAAAAGTGGAATGAAAACATGAAGAGGGAACACATTTCCCAATCGATATATTGACTAGTTTGCATAAATAATATCCTTAAGTTAAAGAACCAAAAAATGTAATTTTTTTTTTTTTTCTAGATGAAGAGTATAATATTCATCTGAGTTCAATATCTTTTTAGGGTCCATTTGAGATCACAGAAACAAATACAACAATGGGACCCAAAAATGCGATTGCATTATAAGGTCGCAATTGAACAAATCGAGCAAGCTCAAACTGACGTAACATGAAACATATTAGCCCAAAAGCACCATTTGGAGGATTCTTAGCATGGTGAGAGCATAGGTTGGAACGATTCGGATATTAAGGGTGTGATTGTATATGAGTTCAATAGTAAAAAAACTCAATTCAAACTCAAATTTAACTCAACTTTTATTCAACTTTAACTCAATCACACTATCATCAATATTATCAATATAATTAAGTAATATCAACCGATCATTCTTACACATCACATCAACTTTAATTTACTATTCATCCACTCACATAATTCTAACTAACTATCACTTCCAATCATTTTTTTCCCAACTTTACATCAAATCAACTTTAATTATTTTATTTAAATACTAGTACGTACCCCGTGCGATGCACGAGACATAAATATTAAATGAAATATTTTCACATGCTTAATTTGTCCGTTTAAATATATAAAGCAATAGGATTATCATCTATTTTTCATCTCTTTTAATCAGCGTTAAGTATAATAAACAATAAGGTTATAATATATTTTGTACCTCTTTAATCAACGTTAATTTTTTAGTCAAAATATTAAAATAATTGATATATTATATTACTAACACATTTATCCTAATTTAAATTTAATTTTAGTATACATATTTATTCATTGATATAAGAGAGAATAACAATTTTGCTTATTCTTGTTCACCATATAATACTTAATTATTATTTTATTATACACTTTATGTCATATAATGTCATTATCATTTATAAAGTTGTAGAAGTTGTACGTCTTCTTTTTATTTTTATTTTATGTAATAAAAAATATATAATGCACGTTGGTATTATTTATTTATGTAATCAATTTAAAATAAGTAAATAAATTTAATATTAAATAGTGTATAAATATTTTACAAAATATACACATGTTTTTTTACAATTTAATTTTATATACTAATTAAACAACTTTGATTTAGAAAATCCCAAAAACTCGCCCCTCTACGATCAAGATTTTTCTAATTCACATTATAAGGATTTATGGTTTATTTAGCGTACTCAGCAATGAAAATATATTTTACAAAAATTTAATTATAGAAATAAATAAAAATAAATAAAAATAAAAAAATATAATCATGGGTGCCAATAATATACAAATAAATTCTAAACAATAGTTAATATGTTTCAATTTTAATTTTGTACTATTAGTAAAATTATTTATTGTATCTGGTCATTATCTCTTAAATGGTAAATTATATTAATTTGAAGAACGATTTATTTTTTATATTTAACAAAATAAAACTTAAGAAACAAAAATATTGGCAAAGATTAATTCAGCAACTTGATTTTGTCTGATTATTTGGAAAAAAAAATTCTACCTAACCTGTTACGATTTTCCATAAATATTTTTGGATAAAAAAGTGAATATTTGTAAAAAAGAACTAATATTATGGTTAGAACTTAAAATATTGTGTAATATTATCTTGACCAAAATATTATCAACATGTATCACAAAAATCAATCTTGTAATTTATTTATATCAATGAAAGTATTACGAATATTAATAAAATAATATTTATCTTGACCAAAATATTATCAACATGAATCACGAAAATCAATCTTATAATTTATTATAATAAATATCAATAAAAATACTGCATATATTAATAAATTTATTTAAGTAATTATTTGATCATATTTAATTTGATCTTATTTAAAAACGTATAAATAGAAGCAATTAATGCATATATTTAAAAAAATTCTAAAAATAGTATGCATTAAATGTTTTCTAAATTTTTGCTACTATTTTTAGTAAATGAAAATTATTTATATATATATATATATAGATTATTTTAATATATCCACTAACAACTAACCATATTTACTTTTTTTTTTCAAAATTAACTATAGTTAAAAATAAACCAAATAAAAACTAATTCCATCCATAAACAATCACTCCCTAAGAAATCTCCGAAATTGTATTGAAATTCGAAGATCACTAAATTTAAATATTTGAAATCATACCAAAATTGGTTTGGTGCAGTTTGGAGATTTTTATTTTTCGACACGGTTAGATTCCGTATTCGGCACTATCGAGATCACTCAGTTCGATCAGGAACTCTGGAGATTTCTATTTATTTATTTATTTCGAATGACTATCTAGTATACTAGTACAGAGCCCGTGCGATGCACGGGGTGCACAATTTTAAGGTCATTTATCCATTCTTATAATTATATAAATGAATAAAAAAAAATGTACGGGATATATATAGTACGTGACATGTAATAGGCCAAAATGTGAACACGGGTGATACACGGGGTGCACAATTTTAAAGTCATTTATTAGTACAGAGCCCGTGCGATGCACGGGGTGCACAATTTTCTAGTATGTCTAATAAAAATACATAACGTATGCACGGGACAGAAGCACTAAATGAGTCATTTCTACAGAGCTTGCCCGTTAAGTAGCTCCTGAACACGGGTGCACAATTTGTAGTACTTACCATAAAATCAGAACAGCTTTCCATACAATTAGATAATAAATTAGATAATAAATAAAGTATTTTTATTTTAGTAAAGATTTTACGTACTTTTTTTTACTTATCGGATGTTATGGGATTTTTTTTGTTAAACCGAATTTATGAAATATAATACAAATACAATTAGAGGATTGAACAAAATCATAACATATTTTTATACAGTTAGATAATAAAAAGGAATTAGATAAGGGAAAGAATGAATTAGATAAGAAAAAGAAGAAATTAGATAAGAAATTTTGAATCTGACTTTTTTTTTTTTGGATAGATAGACTTTACGTATAAATTTTGACATCACTGATTTTATGGATTTCTTTTGACAAAATCGATGTTAATATGGAATAAGACAGATAAATAAAGTCTTTTTATTTTAGTAAAGATATTACGTCTTTTCTTTGACTTGTCATATGTTATGGGATTTCTTTTTCTTAAACTGATTTTATGGGATACAAGACAAATAAATAAAATAATTAAATAAAATTCTGGATAGAAATAGCAATGCATTAATTACGTTGACATTTCAATCTACTAAATTTGGTAAATAGGATACCTTATATAATAAGTATAAATACAAATAAATAACATGCCAAAATTTTAAAGAATAATTAATGTATTTTAATTTATTATCTAATCATCAGTAATATCATTTAATGATGTGATCATTAGATGATAAATAAAATATTAATTTAAAAAAAAAATATTTGTTTTTTATATACTCAAATAAAAATTAAAAAATACTATTGACAAATATGAATTATAATATATATCAGTAAAATCATTGCAGAAG